AGAGGGGGATGCCAGATTTTCTGGAATGTTTTCAGTGTGGTTTTGGGGATTTAGAGAGGCTTTACTACCAAGGAAACCCTCTCTTTGATAGAAGGCTGGAAGGTGTAATATTGGGAGTGGGGAGTCACAGAGTCAGAACTTGGCTGAGCCACCTGCTGAGGAGGAATAAAAAAGGCAGTGCTGGCTCGCAGGAGCCCTAGCAAAGGGTTCTCTTCCATATCAATGCCTAAAATATGTATTTTAAATCAGACTGTAGGGCCTAGGAGTTCTAGAATTGGGTAGCATCGAGTCTAGTGGCCCAGGTGGCCAAGGCTAGAAGATCCCCACCCACCACCTTTAAGAATAAAGCTGTGTATCCCACTAGAAGGGCACATTATCTGGGCCTACACTGGACAGAAAAATGGCTTAAGGTTGCTCCAGAAGACACAGATGGTCACTTAGGGCAAGCAATGTTCTTACGCTTCAAGCTTTTGGAGCATAATTCTGTGCGTACATGAGGTCATTACTGAGTCACAGAACTGCTGGGCATCATTTCTATATTGGATGCACAGCAGTGTGTAACTGCCTCTCATTATCTGTGCTGTGACCTCATCAGCAGAGCTTATAAACATTACCTTTTTTGACTCCAGCTCTTGAAATCCCCCCACCCAGCAGGGCCAGTGGCTTATCTGTTGCCAAATGCTAATTAGGAGATTGTGAGCAGTGTAATCCCTGGAAGTAACTTTTCCAAGCTCTGACCTGGTTAGTTGTATGGTACATGTACAACCATCTCTTCACTAAATCCATACAACAGGCAGCTCCAATATAAAGGGTGAGTTTAATATCAGTGCTTCGTCTTTCAACTGACAAACTCCATAATAGTTTGTTTTACCGCAATTTTGATCTGAGCTTACTTGATGTACCATACCTATATCTCCATCACAATGGGGTGGAATGACATGTAGCTCTCTATAGGATGGCATTCCAGCAGTCTTCTCTCTTCCAGGTGCATTTCCAGCTCAAACAAACCACTGTGAACAACCACCCTATACGAAAGCCTTCAGACAAAGGCCCGGCCAATAAAGGTCTACATAAGAAAGTGGTGCCAAGGGCTGCCCAGTGGGAGATACTCCGGTGAAGACAGACCTCTAAGAGATGAAAGCCGCTGGAGTCACGTGTAACAGGAGAAAACGACAGCAGGCAGATGAACTTTCTAAGAGGCACCGACACCCTCCCTTGATCCCCACAAACATAAAATGAGCCTAGATGAGAGATGACCTTTGTTTATTAAATCTAATATTTAACTTCAAAGCAGACTAATGATTCTTTTCAAATGAGAATGGCATTAGATCAGTCACTTTTATTGTCTCCTAACAGGTCCTTGACTTCGAAACTTCTTACTTAGCCCTACTTTTTTTGTGACAACCTGCCTTTTGGCTGAGTCTCACCTACGGCCTCTGGCTTAAATCAAATGATTTCTGAGCAGTCAACTCCCAGTGTGACAAGATTTCTTTCTTTGTCCCATGCCATGTAGAATCTACACTATCCAAAAACCTGTCCTGAAAGGTTTCTGAGCCCTCCAGAACCAGTTTGAGGGAATGGGGAACCAGAGACAAGGCAGAATTCATGCCTACAGAATGAGCACACTGGACACCACTGTCACATAGATTGCCACAATTGATATATGGCCTAGAACAAATGAAAAGCTGTGTGCATGTGCGTGCATGTATGTCTGTGTCTATGATTTCGGAGTTCTCATGAAGAGTGATGTATGAAATCTGGCACTATCTATTAAGAGTCATAGGTGGGAAATTATGTTCTTGCTCCTTTCTTCAGTTTGGAAATTACTGAAGAGTGGCCTTTTCTTATCATTGCATGTGGGGTTTTTTTGGTTGCTGTAGGACTCTCAAAAGTTGCTGCCCCAAAACAAGTTTTCATAACATCTTGTACTATGCTGAGCTGTGGCTATGTTAGCTGTGCTGTATGTTTTCTTACTACAGCAGCCATCAGGTTCCACCAAATAATCTCCCCCCAATTCTGGTTTGTTGTACATACAACTGTAAACACACTTACTGGGAAATAAATCATGCTGATTTGCAAGTAAACATATTTAGGATGGGTTTGTGAAGCTTATTGGTTACTAACATTTGTAAAACATAATATAGCACCATCAGTTTCTGCCTTTGAAATGTAATTTAGAGTTGAAGACAGACGTAAAATCTGTAAAGCAGTGGGGATGATTTAGAAGTACTATATCTGTATCATGTAAAGACATACATTTTCTTCTTTGCCATAACTTCTGAAGAATCCCATTTCACATCCATTGGATGTACTTTAACTTGAATGCAGGAAAAATATTTGTGGACTGTTCTGTCTATGATAACACAAATATATAGTCCTCTAAACTACACAGTATTTGCTCTTAAAATAATTTCTGATGTGGTTTTTTTTTTAAATAAGGATGAATGTATGTCAAATAAGCATACATCTGATTGGCTACCTTACCTGAAGCATGGGAGAAAAGGTCAATTTGACAGGTGAAACAGACTCCAACTTGCTTGCATATCTTTCTGTCAAAATTGCAAAGCTAGGCTCACATCATGGTTAAAGAACTCCCCGTGTCTACTTTTTAAATAGTACGTGTTTTTCTTCTTGAGATGTTTTGAATCTTGGCTTTCAAATAGAGCTCCTTTCTTTAATTTGTCTTGAAAGGCTGTTATACTGAGTCATCCATGTTAAGAAGATATTTACCTGAATAAAATAGATCCCCACCCCCAATTCCTCTAAAAAGGAGTGCTAAGGCTAGTACTAAACAGTCCTGACTTGCCAACAAACCAGTGGAAAAACAACCTCCCCAACATTCTCATGCAAATAGCATGAAAGGAAGTCACAGAGAAGTCCTTGACAGTCTCTGCCTTACAAACACAGTTTTCTGGGTTTATGATAATGGCTGTTTAATACCATGCAGAGCTTAACAGTAACATCCCTCTAATACTATGCAGAGCTACAAATCCCCTTCTTAAAGCAGTCAGATAACTTGTACAGCAATGCTGCTGCCTGACTGTGTGCAGAAATAAAGAGGTGGTCTGGAAAAAGGTGAAAGATCTTTGACTGTTAGGCAGAATCTTAGGCAAATAACAGGAACCTTAAAGGGTTTTTCTTTCCAGAAACTAAGGGCACTCCAAGAATAGAGCTTGGCAAAGTGACATTTTTGAACTATAACTTTTGTAATACTCTCATCAGCATAGCATATATCCAGGCTGTCATGGGTATTTTGTGAGCTGTAAACTGACAAAATAATTTCAATCAGCTATACTGCAGAGAGATGGATCCTCATGTTACCAAATTTTTAAAAAATACAGTGATTTAATATTTTCCTTCTTGAATTTTTCTTTTTTCTTTTTTATGGGAATAACAAATTTCCAATAAAAGCTGGGAACATACAGGCACATTAGATGTAGACCAAAGATCAATTCTGCAAAGGGAGACTGGTAAATTTAAAAGGTGAGTCTATGTTGCCCTCTTCTGTCCACTGGAGAACATTGTTATGGCGGGTGGGAGGGAGGATGGAAATCTACCAACGGGTTTACCAATTTTAGTTTCCAGCAGAGATGCTGGCAAGTCTTTGGATTCAAGTCCCAAGTCCGAGCCCAAGTCATTGGTACCAATTCTGAGTCCAAGTCTTTGGTACCAATTCCTGAGTCCTAAGCCCCAAATCTGAATCCCTATTAAAAACAAGCTTTGTTCCAGAAAAAAGGGAGGGTGGATGGGTTCTGACTGAGTCGTGAGTGAAATCCAAGTCACTGGGGGAAAAAAACACAAGTCAAATTTGATTTAAGTCACCTGTGCGACTTAAGTCCCACCTGACAGCAAGTCTTGCGATGCCGGTCCCCCATCCCTAGTTTCCAGTATGCTAGCATAGCTTCTACTCAATCATCATCACCATCTACAGAAAAAAAAATAACAACAAAATCCTTGTGATGTGGCTTCTAGCATCATCAGCTGTAAGTACCAACTACCTTTTATTGATTTAGTCACTCATGAGAAATACATGTTGTCAGGAATTTCATCCATCAGACTTCTACCACTAATACTACTACTCCTGTCTATAGACCAGTATATACCATGCTTTTTATTTCTTTACCACTTTTAATGTGCAAAGTACCTAATAATCTGTACAATTATATCTGTAAAGCTCACAACCTTGTTATGATGTATAGGCCCTTATTAATCTTATTTTGCAGGCATGTGAGATGGTGACTTACACAAGTTCACTGAGCATCCACTGCAGAAAACACTAAACCACAATGGCTTTCATAATAATATATATTTTCATTTTAAAATTATATCCCAACTCCTAAGCCTTTGGGATGTACTTTGAATTGTTGCTACCTTATGCTTCAGAATTCCCTACTAGAATACCCTGAAAAGGGTAGAATTTCTCATTCTCTTAATTTACCTCAGATGAATACAGTACTACTTGGAAAACATAGGCATTAACTCCAATCGTAATAATATTTAGAAATAAATGAAAGTTAGGCTTGCCCTTTATAGATTTCCTTCATACTCTTAAAGATTCTTAAATTGCCTTTCTGGGTAGGCTTGTCTAAAAAATTTGGCCATCTGATTTGGCTCCATCTTTTGACAGCAGCTATGCCCTCTTTATCATCTGAGAGATATTTGCATCGCTTCATCCTGTTTTGTCCCATGCTTATGTTTTAACAGTTTCAAAAAGAGAAAAACAACATACATAAACATTTACAATGGACACATATTGTATATAATTGTATACCAGATGTGTTGTGTCTGCATTTAGCACAAGAAATACTACAATTTCTTTCCACAGTAAATTGGATTTTTGTCTGTGTATTCTTTTTCTCATACATGCTCCTCCTCCTAAGCTTTATAACTTACCAGAAAGAAAGGGTAGTTCAGGTCCACGCTTTACACAATACTGGGAAGGTTTAGTGTGAAAGAGACCTAGCTAGGAATAATACCTCATGAAATAATTTTTCTTAGGGAAGCTAATGTTGTTTCGACTTATATATCACCCCATAGTGCTAGAACACATAACTTTTCCAAGGTACTGTATAGGAATTAGACTGAATGTTTCAGCCCATTCTGATTCACTGTCCAAATGTACAACAATGAAAGAAAGGGGATTAACAAAGCAGCTGCAGAAGTGATTGTCCTTGAACTTCCACCTTACAGCAGATGTGGACAGCTTCTAGATGAATATGAATTACTATTTATGACAAATTTTGTAATTCGCTTCTAAATTTGTGCCAACTCTTTATATAAATTCTTTCTACGTCATGACTACATCTTAAATTGAGCACAGACACTAACAGGGAGCCAATCAAGGAAGGCCAGGGCTGGAGATATGTGTTCATATCTGCTGGTACCTGTAACCAGTCTGGCTGTCTCATTTTGGACCTACTAAAATTTCCGCACTGACTTCAAGGGCAGCCAAATATAGAGAGTGTTACACTAGTTTATTTTAGAGATTATCGATGCATGAGTCACTATCGTTAGGCATTTCTTTTCTTACTTATATATTTATTGATTTGCTGGACTTACACCCCACTCTTCTCCCAAACAGGGGATTTGAGACAACTCACAATGTTGAACAAAACATAATTAAAACACAGACAAAATCAAATACTGAATCATACTTATATTAAAATACATATACAGTACAGTAATATAATCAATTTGAAACACATTAGTAAGGAAAATAAAATATCCATTGAATAGTTTGGCTATCAGTATATGGCTTAGAAATCTGTCTGCACAGCTCTGTCCCTGCGTTGTATTTCATAGACTTATAGAATAATTAAGTTGAAATGGGCCTATAAGGCCATCGAGTCCAACCTCCTTCAATGGAGGAATACAAATAAAAGGATATCCGCCAGGTGGTTCTCTGAATTTCTCTTGAATGCCTCCATCCAGTGTTGGAGCACTTGCCATCTTCTGAATGTAATTGATTCCATTAACATACTGCTCTAACAGTTAGGAAGTTTTTCTTGATACTCAACCAAAATCTGGCTTCCTTTAATTTGATCCCATTGTCACATGTCCTGCACCCTGGGATAATTGAGAACAGATCTCACCCCTCCTCTGTAAGACACCCTTTCAAGTATTTGAAAAGTGCTAACATATCACCCCTCAGTCTTATTTTCTCAAGGCTAAACATGCCAGTTTCTTTCAGACTTTCCTCACAGTGCTTGGTTTCTCTGGTACTGCCTTCCTCGCTTCCATTCATTCTATGCGATATTCCCTCTTGCATAGATTTTTCTCCCTCATTGTCCAGACCTCAGATAAAGTCGTTTTGAATTAGGCATGCACAGAAGCACAGTGATAACCACAAAAAATTATGTGCAGAACTTGGAAGTAAGCCCATCAAACACAGCAGCCCAAATGCTAATGCTAACTATAGAAAAACCAATGGCTCAGTGAAAATTATACAAATTGAGACAGATAGTTGGATTTAGGACAGTGATTTATTCCTGAGTAATGCTTTGGATTTTATTGTGCAGTTGTATACACACAGCTACATGGTTTTCTTATTTTCTTTCTAAAGTTCTCCATACATGGTCACTACGGTTTCATATGACATAGCAAGGAAACAGAGGAGAATCTCGAGGAAGGCCCAATGAAGGAAAGAGGACACATCCTCCTCTGTCTCGCTAGCTGCTCAGACGACAGCAGGAGCTGTGTTCTGTAACAAACTCAGCATTGTGGGCCAGCCAACCCTGAATGCCAAGGCTCTACAGTTTTCACTTTTCCAGCACACAACAGCTGGCACAACATTTAGCAGTTCAGGAATTCTAGATTTTCACAGAATCCTGCCAGATGATACATAGCTGCCTTTCACCAGCCGATGCTTAGAAAGACAGGATATAAATCTGAGTCAAAATCAGAGAAAGAGAAGACATGGCCCTCCGGATATTGCTAGAATCCCCCCCCCTTTTTTTGCTGTCTATGAGGGGCATTCTAGTTCTCTAGTCTTGATCTGCCCACATACAACCTCCACCTCTTCCCTGACCCCCCCACGTCTAAAATGTGAATACCCCTTAACAGAAGGTTCCAGAAGCAGGCATTGGACTTTTATGTAGGCGAAAGGGCACTCAAGCATTGCTTACCACCAGAAATATTTCGTTGCTTCTAAATCTTTTTTTGGTAATGCTTTCACCTAACATTTTTAATAGAATGTTGTTAATTCTTCTTTCATATTTGAATGTACTGACTCAGCTTTTAATATTGTGTTTTTAATGATGTACGCCACTTTGGGTCCTTTTGAAGAAGAAAGATGGGGTAAATAATGTAAATAATTTTTCAAAACCAGAAGTAGACTTCTAGCCATGTTCAGTTTAAGTTTTATTTGATATTTTCATTTTGTTATTTTTGTATTTATTGCATTTATGGCAGATCCCCTCAAGTTCTCTAGCCTGGCTTTAAATAAATTAAACAAATAATATGAAGAGGTATCAAAGTCCAATGGCATAAGTAACAAGTTTGGAAATTAAAAGCTCTTCACTCAGGACCAACTCACAAATATTTCCCATTATGTCAGGGAGAGCTTGCAAGGACATGCTCTGTGCCAACTACAGTACTGTAAGCACTGCAGTTGAGGAGAAAGGGAAGCCTGAAAGGGATGGCAATGATATCATAGATCCTCCTCTCTCTCAGAAATTTCCAGCACGTTGGCTGGGGGGAGTTCTGGCTCTACTATACTAGTGCTTGAATTAGGCAGCCACCCTTACTTGGGATAAAGGCTGAGCATGATCTCTGCTCACCTGAAGTGGCAAGATAAGGTGCCCCCTCCTGCTCTAGTTGTAACTAGAGTAGGCCCGTTTCAATCAATGAAACTTAAAGAGCAGTTAATTCACAAAATCCACACTGACTGAATGAGCCTACTCTAGTGCTGCTAACTAGGCTAAGCAACAGGATTTCCACCCCTGTCTTCCATTTGTAAACTCTCTTGCAGTTTTTTGTTGTTTGTCTTTTTTTGGTAATCCCAGGCAGAGCTTTTCTCTTGCGATTGCCCTGCCTTAAGCATGGAAAGGGATCCAAATGGTGTTTTCTTCTCCTAAAACCGTCCTATGTCCACTCTTTTTACTTGAAAAAAAAACTTTGAGGAGGAAGAACCAAAATGTGTGCCCGTTGCGTTTTTTTAAAAAAAATGATTGATAGTATTAGTAACCAGTCTGGAAGTCTCACAGGAAATCCTCTATAAAGAGGGGAACATGCAACTGCTGAATGTACCATGGCTTCTGATTGGCAGCGTGGGGTCTCCTCCGCCGGGCAGAAGCCACCAAAACCGCGGGCGCGCGTCGCGGAGCAGGCAGAGGGAACGCGATCTGGGAGACGACCAGGCAAGTGTGCACATTCCCGTCCCCACCATTTGACAAGGTCGTCCTGTCCTTCCCGTAGAAGGTCGTGAAAGAGGCAAAGCCTCGCTTGGAAACATCCCGCTCCCGCGACTCCCTGGCAAGAAGAGTCCCTGAAATTAGTTGCCAGTGTCAGAAAAAAAATCATCGCCGGTTGACGGACTTCTGAGCATGTGCAAAGTGCGGTGCCTTGGCAACTCTTTAGCCAGAGAACCGTCTCCTCGCCTCAGGGATGCGCGCGAAGGGGTGGCAGCAGGGCGGGCTCCACCGCCTCTCGCTCGCTTCGGGCTGGAAACTTGGCAGCCCCGCCGCCCCCTAAGAAAGCTCGCCAGAGGAGTCCCTCTTTCCTCAAGTCCGCGAGACCTCCTGCCCGCTCCGACGAGGCAGCTCCCGCCCCGGCTGCGGTTGTTGGCCGAAAGGGGGCGCTCATCGCCCAGCGGGCCGAGGAGGGTAGTGACGCTCGGCGGGGCGGGGCTGTGGTCCGGGTCGCCGCCGCTGCCGCCGCTCGCGAGGGCGGCCGAAGCGAGAGTGGGACCGATCGGCCGGGGCCGGCGCGGCCGAAGGGACCGGGCAACAGGTAGGGCGCGAAGGGAAGTGAACGGAACAGGGTGGCGGGCCCGGCTTTCAGCTTCGTCCCGGTCCGAGAGAGTTCCCTTTCGCGCGGAAACTCCTCCGACGGGGCCCCAGCACGTACCCCATAGCGTCTGATGCCTGGCCCCACGGAGTTGCGTTGCATCTGTCACCACCCCCACTCTCCTAGGGGAGATCCGTGCAGTCAGGTCCCGAATCCCCCACCCATCGGACCCCATGGGCTTCCTTAGAGTCTTCTTCACTTTGAGCCTCTTTGCTCGCCGTGCGGGTCGTCCCTAAGAGACCCAGGCGCTCCCTTCCTGGACAGAATGTTTTCCCAAACATCCTTGGTTCCAGGATCCTACCTGGGAATCGGGCTCCTCTGCCCGATTTTACATTACGCTCTTCTCTCCTTGTGGGGATGTTTTCTTTTTCTGTTGGTCTGTCCCCCAGTTTAATTCTGGCTTTCCTTTTTTCGATCCATAGATGGGAAGTGATGCAAGTCACCCCCTCCTTCAGATATCATATCCTATAGCTCTATGGGTTTGGGAGTTCTTCTTGGCATATAGAGTGACAAGCAGTCCTGAAGATAGCTAATTTTCCTCATGCCTTATGTATGAATTAACCTCAGCTATACACTCATGTTTTCTCTTTTTCATCAAAACTGTTATGTTAAGTCAAGTTGCCTCTGACTTATAGTGACCCTATGAATGAGCTATTTCCCTGTCCTCAGCTGTCGTGCTCAGCTCTTGTAAACTCAAGCCTGTTCCCTGTCCTCAGCTGTCCTGCTCAGCTCTTGTAAACTCAAGCCTGTGGCTTCCGTTAAGAAGTCAGTCCTCCTTGTATTTGGTCTTCCTCTCTTCCTGCTGCCTTCTGTCTTTGCCAGCATTATTGTCTTTCCCAGAGAATCCTGCCTTCTCCTGGGGTGCCCAGAGTAGGACAGCCTCAGTTTCAACATTTTTCCCTCCAGAGATAGTTCAGGCTTGATTTAATCTAGGATCCACTTGTTTGCCTTTCTGGCTATCCAAGGTATCTGCAAAGCTCTCCTCCAGAGCCATATTTCAAATGCATACATTTTTTTCCTGTCAGCTTTCTTAACTGTCCGGTTTTGCACCCATACATGGTGATCAGAAAGACAAAAGTGTGAATGGTCTTGTTCTTGTTCTCCAGAGACACAACTTTACATTTGATGATATATTCTATTTCTTTCATTGCTGCTCTCCAAGTTTTAGTCTTCTGATTTCTTGGCTGCAGTCTCCATTTGGATTGATGATTGAATCAAGGTATACAAAATTTCATTATTTCAGTTCCTTTATTGTCAACATTGAAGTTTTGTATGTACATTGTTCTTCTGTAATAATGATTTGTGTCTTCTTAATGTTCCACTGCAATCCTGCTTTGGCACTTTTTTCTTTCACTTTCACTAAACACTGTTTCAAGTCATTGCTGCTTTGTGCTGATAGGCTGGTATCATCTGCATATCTCAAATTATTGAAATAGGCTGGTATCATCAGCATATCTCAAATTATTGATGTTTCTTGCATCAATTTTCATTCCACATTCATCTAAATTTAGTCTGGCTTTCTGTATGATATGCTCTGTATACAGTTTGAACAGAATGTCTGATACCTTTCCCTATGAAGACACCACTATGCATCTCCATAGTCTGTCCTAACGGTAGATTCTTGTCTACAGTACAGATTACACATCAAGACAAACAAGTGCTGAGGCACACCCATTTTCTTCACAACAATTGTTAGTTGTCTGCATGGGAAATTAAAGTAACAGTCCTACTGCACTCCTTGGCATCTCCTTTCTTGGAGACTGGGATGTACATTGAGTGTTTCCAGTCTGTGGGCCATTGTTTTGTTTTCATATTTGTTGACATATACTTGATAGGATTTCAACAGATACCTGAATAGTTCTGTTGGCATTCAATCTATCTCTGGTGACTTTTTTTTCCTATAGCTTTCAGAGTAACTTTCAGTTAACTTTTTAGAAGGCACTGCTGGATAGCTTAGTGGTTAAGGTTGGGAGTTTGATTCCCCACTCTGCTTCCTAGGCAGGGGCTGCATCTATAGGGTCCCTTCCAGCTCTGCATTTCTAAGAAGATGATTATTATTAACTGTAGTTTTTTTTTCATCATAAGGGTTCCTCTTCAAAGAAATCTGTTATACATATTTTATCTTCATCCAAATACTCACTTATTTTTCTTCCCCTATAATTTCTAGTAGCATAGATGTTGATGCCCATTTCAAGCCATCCATTCCGTGCTTATATGTTATTTGTTGTTATGTTCTACCAGAGTGCTTCAGAGCTATAGTGACCCTATGAAGATATGACCTCTGAAATATCCTGTCATTGCTAGCCGTCCTTGGGTCTTGGAGATTAAAGGCCCTGGCTTCTTTTATTACATTACAGATGGACGTGTCACCTGGAAGACTGAGAATCTTCACAGATTCACAGCAGAATTGATTCTGACTATATTTTTCCATGTTTTGTATGAGTGAGGTCAGAGATTAAGATGCACTGTGTGTGGATCTTTTTTTAAAAAAAAAAAGTGGTACTGAAGATTTATTTCTAAAAAGCAGTGTGCTGGTACAGGAAATTTCTTTTCCTGTACTAGTACAGGAAAAAAGATTTCTAAGATACATATCTACTTAAATGTAAAGAATTAAAAAGCTTTATCTATGAGAAAAACATATCTAGAAACATGCTAACAACCAGTGCTGTTTTGAAAGCTTTTCTCTAATTTTAATTTGCAGCTTTTCATATGTCTATGCTTGTTTTTGATTTGACCTCCCCATGCTGAGACCTTTGAGATTGGATGAGTTTAAATTTCCAGTTGAAAAAACAGTCTGTTCTGACCTGGGACAACAATGCGTCCTTCGTTTGAGTGTTTTTTCTTTTGAAACCTTTTAGGAGTCAGTTTGTGTTTGAACTCTTCACTTTGTGTGCTTTCTTTCCCTCCATACTCTAAGCCAGCTTACTTCCTACTGTTACATGTTCTCTGTCCAAAGCATGGTAGCATTCAGATGTCAGTTCATGTTTTCCAGGTCAAAGTCTGACACTCATGATTTCTGGATTCTGCAGTGCTCAAGGAATGTCTGGCACATTCCACAAACTTTAGAAAGAGTACAAAGATCAGCTGACTGCATTTTGGAGATACTGTAGTGTAGGAAGGTATATATCTGTCTATCTGCAGTGGAAACCACTTTACACATTACTAAATTGCTGCATGTAAATGGTGTGGTTCTCATCTGCAGACTGTGATGATTCACAAGTGTAAATGAAAGTGTGTTATGTACACAGAAAAAAGTATGTGTGAAGACCTGGCTCTATCGCCTGGCATTTGGGACATTTGCCAAGGCCAACATGTGCTGGCAAAGCCCTCCGATGTGGTTGCTGTGCCTTGCCTCGCCCCATCACCAGTACCTGCTGCCACTTGGAGTTCCTGATGTCAGGGGGTGCGAGTTCTCCTGCAACGGCTCTCCTTCCGCTCTGCTTGTGTGGATTTATTTGCAAAACGAATCTTTAATGCAGGTCTGTTCTACAACTCTACAGGTCTGGTTTTGTGAATCCTGCCTTTCCAAAGTCTCCTCTTTCTCCTGTGACAAACAAACAAAAAAAGTTAACCAAAAAAGCAAATTACTGTTTCTGGAAAACTCCAGAAGTTCTGATTTCATTTTTGAGTAGAATGTACACCCCATATGTATATTTTACTTCCAAAAAAGGCCCAGAGGATTCTGCGAGTGTAAAGTTGACCTTGATATCCACCAAAGATGTGTGCCCTAATGGAGCTAATGCCTTCACATAGCAGATTTACTGAGTGGCAGCAGTATTGTAATGGACCACCACCACTGCTTAGAGCACGTACAGTACATGGTAAAGGAGGAGGCTGGCGGCGGCATCAGCAGCAGCATTGCACCAGGGAGCCCAAGTGAAAACTGGTCCTGGAGGCCTCAGCAGGGACAGCCCACTAAGCCCTGGCCATGGCCTCCAGCAAGAAGAGCTGGACCTCTGCATTTATAATTATAATTAATAACTGACATGTGAACATGACATGTTGCTTCCATATAGGAATCTGGCAGCATATGAATTCACTCCGAGCAACTGAAATTTTATGTTCTTTATGTCTCATACCTCAATTTCAATTTATTTACAACATAGGCCCAGGCAATGGCTTATTCAGCACCTCCCGTATTCTTGCATATCATAGCTAAGAGGGGCATAAAGGATATTAGAGGTGTGAATTCGGGATTTCTTGACACACATTTAGGTACTGATTAACATGTCACAGGCTGGAAGCACTCCTTGGGTCACCAAGAGAGGCAAACTTCATTGTGAAGTTTTATGTGAAGTTTTACTACACAGGTTCCTATATGTGTCCTCATATTGCTGAAGGTGTGTGATATTTGAATGATGTTGCTTGTGCCCACATTAAGATGCTTGTCTCGCTGTTTGCGTGCAGCTTTAGCTGGAGTCGGCCTTGCTTGGCTCAAGCTGTTTATTAAGAACTCAAGGGCATTCCTGCCATATGGACCTACTGTCAAGAGCAGCTGTCAAGTCTGTATGGGCGGGTTGCTCTAGGGCTGAGAACAACAGTACTGTACTGCTATTTCCTGTGTCTTGTCTGCAGTGATTTGACTGATGTGCTTTAAAATAAGCATTAGTCACTTAGTCCCAAAAAATGAACATGACATCCATGTTCTTATAGTCACCACAGGTGACTCTTTTAATAATGCCATAAGGGAATGTGTAGTCAAGTCAATTTTATCATTTTTAAATCTCTGAATGTTTAACAGTATGGTCCACATTTCATCGAGTGACCTATCTCAGTTGCCATCCATTGGTGGGATCTGGTACTTCACTGAAAAGGAACTAGGCCCTTTGAGGTGTTTCTTAAATCTCTTTGAAATAAATATCACATGATGTTCTTCATCCGGCTATTCTGTCCTCACCATCTGCTTCCTTCATTGTCACAGTCTTTTCCTTTTAAAAAGTATA